AATGGAAAATGTCTAATTCCAAGTTTACTAAGGGATATGAAGGAGGTGAAGAGTCGTACTCACCAGCCCGCAGTGCCCATCATCAGCTTCATGGCTCCTTATTCTCGATGAATTTGTTTTGGTTCGCTGGATTATCACGCTGTATGAATCGCCCGCCGATGCGTGAAAATGGGTAAAATTGTATACGCGATATTCACGAACGGTGGCACAGCTTTTCCGGCGATCCTACCGGCTGTGCCAGTCAAGTTGCGGGAGCTGCCGAGAGCTTTTTTAAAAATAATTAAAACTACGTGTTCACAGAGAGAGATGTGAATTTATTCTGACCATTGTCTTTTACAATTCTTAATCCTATGCTTACAGTCTACTTAAATTACTACATACTCAGTGTTTATGTATTTATGCTGATGGACGCTTTATACGTATTATGGGTGATGCTGGTGTAGCTATAGCGTGTGACGAAAATGTGTGAGTTGAAATAATTTTTATTAAAGGGCTTAGTGTGAAATGAAACAAGGAATTGTAGCTCGAACTTATTTATTACTAAAATAATGGTGCACAAACTAAATCAAGTTCATTATTGTCATTATTATTATTATCATCATCATCACTAGGACCACTGCTGAAACTATCTGTTACGTTGATTATTAATAGGTGTTCACAAACTTTGTCAAAGTGAACATCTCGCGCACAGTCTTCTAGTATATATTTTTTGTGTGTTCCACGACTTTTTTCCAGACATCCGCAGTAACGTTGTCACAGACATTTTGCAATAAAGTGAGCATTTTCTTAGCCGTAAATGATGGAGATGTGTTACATTAAAAAAAAATTAAGTATCGATATATGTAGTAAACGTAGGTACTAGGTATAATGACAAAAAAACAAACCCTTAACATGAGCCCAAATCTGTTCGATGGCATTGTAATGGCAATGATATGGTGGCAATCTAAGCACCGTATACCCATGTTGTTCAGCGATTTCATCCAAAATGTAGGTTGGCTTTCTGGGTTTGTTTTCTTTCATTAATCGAACCAATTCGTGTTTCAACATATTTTCATTGGCTTCAATGTCTTTGCTCCGCAGCCAAGATATAAACTCCACTTTTCTGCTGCTGGATGTTGAAGCTTTATCCTTTTGTAAAGAAGGGTACAGCGCATTATCTAAATAATTATATTTGGTTCATAAAGGTTTTCCAGTAATATAAAAAAAACTCTTTGAATTTTTTGAAATTCAACTCATCATATTCTGTTGTTTTTGTTGATTTTAAAGGCAACAAACCATTTGCCGTCTTTGCATGCACTATTATCAGGCGTTGTCCTTTGCCTTCGGGCACTTTGGTGACTGATTGTGCCGTGTCATCAGTTCACGCTTTCTGTACAATGTGGTTCGCATTAAGCCACGTATCGTGCTGAAATATGAATTTATCACAATATGAAATATGTTTGCCTTTTCTCAAAAAGTCCACCCGTGCCAAGGCAATATCTGTGCGCTCCATTATTATTTTTCTTTTATCGCATTTTTTTATAAGCGATGCCAATTTTGTGTAGTATGGTGGCCAATAACTGCAAACAGCCTTTAAGTAAATCAGAGTCTTTAAGGGACACTTAATATTCTTATTTTTGGATATTCAGCACGTCTATAATAGACGTATACATGGTTGCGTAATGCGGCGGCATGAAAATCATCAATCGCAGTGATACTCAAAACTCTCCTTCTTTTTTTATTCGGCGTCGACAATTTTTTTTGTCAAGAGTATCCGCAACTCTGTTGTCAACTTGGGTTACAGGCAACAAAAATCCGCTATTTTGACTCTCACGTTCAAATTAATCTCGCAAGCGAATAACCAATTCGCGACATTCGCTATTCAAAACAGTGTTTTACATTCTTTTCCGCATTTTGTAACCAAAAATAACATAAACTTAACGAAAGACTCAACAAAAACAGTAGATAATAACTCAATAAAATAAGATAATAACAAAAACTGAACGAAAGCGTATGTACAAGCCTTGTACTACAAGCTACAAGGCAGTTCAGGGACAGGCGGGCTATGCTTTAGCACGTAGCGATCGTTCTCCTTCTCTCTAACCTCAATGGAATGACTCGTACTGATTACAAAATGGCAACTGGCAGAAGGATGACAGGCTGTAGTGCTGCTTCTGCCACAATCTTGGAGTCAATAGGTACTTTTTTATTCCCATTTTTTTTAGAGTAACAGCTGACGATATAGGGTTGACACCCATCAGTACCGTTAATAGAACTTAGTTTGCTAATAAAGAACCAATTCCAATACATATTATGTGATTTTTATATTCTCGATTTATTTCAAAACCACTTTTTGATAGTCTGTGGTTATTCAAGGTATGGCACCAAAGTATTTATATCATATTATTATACACGTCTATGGAAACTTTATAGGCATGAGCCGTCAAAATTATCAAGCTAAATTTGACAGAGCATAGTTTGTGCAAATACAATTCTTTGTTCATTAGCTCCTGACAGCGTAGTGTCTTTTTATCAAAGATATTTTATTTTAACAAAATTGTGCACTCACGACTGACAAACGAGCTCAGCCAGATAGAGGTTTTTAGGGATGCGTCCTACTCTATTAGGGTGACTACAGGATTTGTTGCTACAACGAAAAAAGGACAATGTGATGCTAAGTTATTCTTCTATATTTATTTTATTGAGAACAATAAACAAGGATTACTATAATACATATTACATTTATCAACAAATATGTAAGATCTCAATCGTCAAAATGGTGGAGCGACCAGGTTGATTTTCGAATCCGTGGTGAAGGAACCACAAAGTGGTAGTAAATTATTGTGTGCGTGAATAACGAAAGTATTTAGCGTGATTCACTGTAACCAAAACAAAATGTCAGATGTGGCGTGTGGCGGGCTTTGGAAAATACTGGAAAAAACATGAGCATGAGCTGCTGTGGAAAAAAGGAATAACAAATAAAAACAGCTCAAAATAGGAACGGGCTTACCTGGGGTGTCTGCATTCGGCCTCTTACTAAGGCCTCGCGGCTGGGAGCAGAGCGAAACGATAAATGCACTGGGGTTGACTGTTGAACGCCACGACAAATTAATTGCAATAGTGCACGACGAATAACACTGTGCAAGCGGTCACTACGAAGGTTTGTACTGTTCTGTGGCTCGACTTTCACAGGTGCTATCACAGCGAAAATTGCGATATATATATAAAAACCCCAGCTTGATATATAAAACTTTGTATTACCTACTCACTCTGTGTTAAGGCGCTGTACATAGTCAAAGTAGGCTTCAGAGAACATCTTTTTTAGGAAAATTTATACATTTCAGAGCTGCAAAAAATATGTTCTTATTATCATATATATGAGAGGACCATTGTGTTCAAAACACGTTTTCGGTAAATTTTCTCGATAGAAAAAAATCATATAAAAACCATTAAAATGAAATTCTAGCAATTGTAACTGAATTATTTATAAACAAATATTGATAAAATTAGTAACAGAGATGTAATATATAATAATAAAGGGAACTGTTGTATTTATTTATCGATTTAAACAAGATATTTGTAAGTAATAACATATTTAATGATAAATAACTCGAACGAGTCCAACGTAACATAGCGCTATCTTGACGCTTTTTTACGAGAAAAATGAAAGAGTGTAGTTAGTAAAGTCATTTTAAGGTCGCAGCGTATCAGATGCGGATTGAATGTTTGACGGATAGTAGGTATCGTTTTGAAAATATGTCATTATGCGTTGTATATGGACAATAAATGTGCACACCAACATGCCCACGTAACATTGCATTCTGTCAGACAAAACATTATCTCATAACATAAATCACTTTAGTAACATAGAAAGCTAAAAGATTTTAGTAGACTTAAATCAAAGATATAATAATATACTTCGTATAGAAATGATAATATCTTTGATTTTGAGTGACTAAAATAAATATGGACACCCTACTTTAAGCATTAGAAAGTTTTTTGAAAAGATACACCACTTCCTATGTATCATTAATTTTTGCATCCTTTCACGCAACACGTGAGAACCATTTTTAATTATTTGAACAATATAAAACATAAAGCTTTAGAGTAAAATAAAATATCTTTGATCGATTCACACAAAGTATACGCCATATTGAAGATGAAATGAAGTGTTATGAAGATGTAAGACACTTAGGGTTGATCTGTTATTGTTTGTAATAATTGCCAAAACTGCGACTCTGAAACAATGCAAGTAGTTAAACACTTGGTTGGAAATTACGCATTAGTATAAATATTTTCTTATGAAGCCTTCTCTTTAATTTTATTTAATAACTATTTAGAATTATAACAAGAACAGAAATAAAAAGAACATCATTTATTTCTACTACGTGGATTTTTTTTTACTGTGGCAGCTCGATAGACAAGGACGCATTCCTAAATAGAGGCTTTTCGCTCAGCCCGTTTTGCCATTTAGCCTAATATTATATGAAAATAGACTTTATGTCAATAGCATATAATACATTTTACTTTTGTAACTTCTGCAGAGTGCACAATCTTTTTCTATACGAAGTATATTATAATATCTTTTATTAGTCTGTTAGCTTATCTCAAAGCATTGGTTTAGTATAAACTCCACTCTCACACTCCACTGGAGTTTATACTAGATCTATGTCTGAAAGATATTGTATTTATCGTAGATAATATATTTGGCTTATCTATGCTCATTGGGCAAATAGCGTTTTGGCAAGTGGCAAGCTGTGCACTAGTTTGATGATTGATATGATTGATGTTTCACGTACGGATGCAGAGAAAGTAAAACAAGATTTTTAAACGTTTTCTTCGTTTAATCGTAAAATGAATATTTCTCCGTCGTGAGAAATGCTTTCTTTGTTATATAGAGTTAATCGCGAGTGCCAAATAAACAGTGCAATAACAATAAAATGTTGGGAGACCGCTAAAACTCATCTTCACTGTGGCTACTTAAAAGTGTTTTATGAGTGTGTTTAAAGTCAAGAGGAAGGATGCCGAGGGGAGAGCATAGGCCGAGCATCCTGTTATCTCGGGATGAAAACGAACAGGTGTTCAGTCTCATTGGACCTAAATGCCAGGTTGGTTAACATTCACACACGAATCGCGTCCTTCCTCGTGATCTGCGATGTAGATTACATATTATCTTTACCAGTATCAGTGGATTATTGTTGATAAAGCTCTTTCCATATTTTATAATTTTATCTTACCAAAAAATGACTTGAGTTTTGTTTAATTTATATCATGAAAGAATTATTACAACTTCTTTACTGAATAAATAGTTATATCTGGAAATAGTGAAGGTTAAAAGACATTATAGCATTCATTTGGTTTTTTTCTCTTTATTTAGGACTGCAAACAACTATACTAACAGTTTACCTTAACATAAAATGTTGGCGTAATATATATTATCATATTTGAAAATAGGGATATTTGCCACACCTGGCAAGTGGGATGGGATGATCATCACAGTTATACGGCAATCCATAGAGAGGCCTGTGTTCATTGTTAAGCAGTGGAGTTTAGATAGGCTGTAACAAATGATGAATAAAAAAATTCAAGGGTAGCTAATGTATTAGGTTTATTACTATATTGTTTTTGAAACATTTATTAAGATTCTGAAAATAAAAATTATTTTCATTTGATTAAAATTTTATTAAAAATCTAATTTGCCTCATATACTTTTGTGTACAATAATATTTACAGTGGAAAGGCAAAATTTTCTAAGCGACATTTAGGTAACTATTAACAGGATAGCTGATTAAAGTTTGAAATAAAAAAAATCATTTCTGTTATACTCTTTACCCTATCGGCATGATTCTTACATAATTATAAAGCTTTTTTAACCTCTCTTTCCTCTAGCGGTCTCATGAGACCCTGCGGCCATATTCTGTCAAATCTCTAGTGGTCTCATGAGACCGCGCCCACCCACAGCACTATAACTCATAAAAACTTATGTATAGAGACTCTATGAAGAAGTTCACATTATAGAATCAATATGAAATTTTCTATCCTCTAGTGCAATAAAAAACAGTTATACTATGGATATTTATTTATAATCTATGTACATTTTGTATGCCATTTTCAAGTGAATGTTACTGTGTTGATTTTTGGATTTTCTAGTGTTTTAGTATAGTGTTTTATTATAAAATTGTAACGAAAGTTATTGTGTGAATATTTTTTATTTTTTAACGAAAATAATTTCGAATAATATGTATTGATATAATTGTGATTTTCACTCTGCTGACATTCGCTTGAGCGTGGAAAAATTATATTCAAAGTTAAAAAAATTCCATGATCATAAGGATAAATTACTTAACAATTTAATTAATTTCTGTCAGAGATTGTTTTCCTAGAGAACAAATTAAAATTAGATTTTGCCCCAAATAATTCGATGAGGTTTTTAGGCTTAACAAAAGAAAACACTAGTGCTTGTTTACTAAACATCTTTTTTTATTAAGAAAAAAATCAAAAAACAAATTTCGTGATTCAAAATCATGTTTATGAAACAAAACATGTCAGAAATCATCGTTTTTATAAAAATAAGAAGAAATCACACGTACATTGTAACACTAATCACTTAGAATTGTTTAAAAACAATTTTTTTTATTATGTAGAGGAGGGGTCAAAGTAGCATGCCCACAAACAACTGCAACACCAGGTGCATTGCCGACCTTATAAAGGGAGTAAGCTCGGTTTTAGAAGGTAACTATGTCATATTGGTCTAGAAAAATTCTAAACAGAAGTCGTAGCAAGGAAGAAAACTCCTGGTAAATCAAAGAGTGGTGTACCATGCGTACAAGCATGCATATGGTGTGGTTGGTATCATGAGTCTTGTCATGATGTGCGTTGGTGTTATTTGGCAAATAGAACTAGCCCAAACAATTCTTCGGATTTTTCTATATTTTGGTATACACTTTTTTTTCCTTCTGGGGGGGGGTTTTTCTTCCTCCGGTCTCCCCCCGCGCCGGAGCGCCCGGCCCCCTTCTTTGTTTTTTGTTGGGCGGGAACGCGCGGCTTTTGTTGTAGGGCGGCACCACTTTCGCGTCAGGCCGCGCCTCCCTGTGGTAAATGCGATAGAAAACAATGGGAATCAACATCTCTTTGCAGCGCCAGTGAATCGAGTCAAACAGAAAGAACTTATTGTCCACGATTTGACTTGAAACTTAGCTTTGATGAGTAACTAAAAAGTAACCACAGCAAAAGAAAAATAGGTAACATTTTTATTGAATACTGGACACGCCTTCCCATGCTTGTGCACTAAGCACCGACATACCGCGCAATGTTTTAATTTTTTGTTCCTAACGGCTACACCACATATTAAATCACAGCCTATTTACACAACAGTGCAAGACTCAACCAACATATTATTAAAATAATCTTCCTGGAAGAGATATCTTAGCACCATTAAATATTTGTAAAGTCACATTTATCTAAACAACAAAATTACAGGAAGGAAAATTATCACTAAATGACGACTAATATTAAGGGACAGGTTAAATAAAAGGTTGCAAAGAAATAAAAAAAATTGACAGGAAGGGTTAGCCGATGACAAAATTATTTTACACCAAAAACAGGTTAAGTTTACTAATTGCAAATACAGTAGATTCCAAAATATTTTAACTGTAATTCTTTTTTTGAAATAACTATAATTTTCGTTATTTCAAAAAAAGAATTAGCCGTGTAGTGGCAGTTGAGAATATCCACTACCCCATATCTTCCCATGGGTGTCATAAGAGGCGACAGAGGGACACAGAAAGGAGATGGGCAGCAGCATCTTCCTAATAACAACAATAAATAATAAAAAACTGCGGTTGCCAACCCGCTCGCCAAGCGTGGCAACTATGGCAAATATCCCCCCCATGAGCAACGACTCAAATAAACGGCCCCCAGTTCCCGGTGGCCCCGCTAGTCCTGGCTACGGTGGCGACCACGGTAACGGCGGGGCAGGGGGTGCTAAGAATCTCCGGTGGAGGTACGGTTGCCACCTACGACGACTCGACCTGGCAATGTATAACGAACGCACCCTGAGGACTGACGAGAAGATACTGGAGCTGGAAGAAGAGGTAGACAAGTTGCGCTGGCATATTATTGAATTATCTGAGGTCCGAAGAGAGGGGGAGGACACGGTAATCCTCGAGTCCGGCAACTTGTTCTATCACCGGGAGGGCGACCATCTGTCCCATGGAGGTGTCGGATTTGTCGTCCACAAGTCTCTCGTCAACAACGTTGTATAGATTGGGAGTGTGTCGACGAGGGTCGCGTACCTGATACTCAGAATCACCAAACGGTATTCGCTGAAGGTCATACAGGTCTACGCACCAACCTCGGCACATCCCGATGAGGAGGTGGAGGAAATTTATGAGAATATTTCTAGAGCCATGCATTCCTCCAAAACCCACTACACGGTGTTGATGGGATCAACGCAAAACTAGGCACAAGAGAAGCCGGTGAGCTGAAGTTAGGGAAATTTGGAGTAAGGCAACGGAACCGTAGGGGCCAGCAGCTGGCTGACTTTATGGAGAAAGAGGGACTCTTTATGATGAACTCTTTCTTCCAGAAGCGGCCCCACAGGAAGTGGACCTGGTCGAGCCCCGACGGTTCGACAAAAAATGAGATTGACTTCATTATGACGACCAGACGTCAACTGTTCAGTGAAGTCTTAGTGATCGCAAGGGTGAAAATCGGCAGCGATCACCGAATGGTTAGAGGCACACTGAACCTAAACGTTAAGTTGGAGAGATCTCGTCTAATGAAGTCAACGCTCCGTCCCCCTCGTGCTCTGATCCAGAATCCCGAGACTTTTCAGCTCGAGTTACGTAACCGCTTTCAGTGCCTAGAAGATTGCAATGCAGTGGACGATATGAATGACAAGCTCGTGGAAACTGTCCATGCGGTTGGAGCTAAGTTCTGCATGACACGCCGCAGAAGAACACAAAAACTCTCCGATCACACTCTTAATCTCATGGCTGTTAGACGGGAGATGAGGCTGCAATCGTCAACAGATTTGACAGCATACAGGCAACTGAACAGACAGATCTCCAAATGCATGCCGCGAGACTTACGCAAATTTAATACTGCTCGTATTAAAGAAGCGATCGAGCGGAACCAGGGCTCCAAAGTCTTTGCCAGAGATCTGTCTGCCAGAAAGAGCCAACTGTCAAAGCTGAAGACTGAGTGTGGCAGCATCGTTTCCGGGACACCTGAGATTTTAAGTGAGATTGAGAGGTTCTATGGGCAGCTGTACACATCATCGTTAGAGCCACACGCTAGTGTGAGTAACGAACCAAGAGCAAGTCTTACCCGACACTATTCCGATGATATCCCGGACGTCAGTCTGAGCGAGATTAGAATGGCTCTCCAGCACCTTAAAAACGGCAGTGCCCCAGGCGCGGATGGAGTTACAGCGGAGCTTCTGAAAGCGGGTGGAACACCGGTACTTGAAGTCCTTCAGAAACTCTTCAATTCCGTCCTCCATGGTGGCACTACTCCGGAGGCGTGAGCAGAAGTGCGGTGGTCTTGTTCTTTAAGAAAGGCGACAACGCTCTCTTGAAGAACTGCAGACCGATTTCCCTTCTGAGCCGCGTCTACGTGCTGTTTTCGAGAGTCATTACGAATCGTCTCGCACGCAGACTTGACGACTTCCAGCCTCCCGAACAAGCCGGTTTCCGAAAAGGCTTCAGTACCATAGACCACATACATACCCTTCGGCAGATTGTACAGAAGACCGAAGAGTACAATCTGCCACTTTGCCTGGCGTATTTGGACTATGAGAAAGCCTTTGATTCCGGCGAAATTTGGGCGGTGCTACAGTCCCTTCAGCGGTACCAAGTTGACTGTCGGTATATCGAAGTGCTGAAGTGTTTGTACAGTAGGGCTACGATGGCTATCCGAGTACAGAACCAGAGTTTGAAACCTATCCAACTGCAGAGAGGTGTAAGACAGGGTGACGTTATATCCCCGAAACTCTTCACCGCTGCGTTGGAAGACGTTTTCATGCTACTGGACTGGAAAGGATACGGTATTAACATCAATGGCAAGTCCATCACTCACCTACGATTTGCCGACGATATAGTACTTA